GGGCAGTGTTTCGTTCTGCTGTGTATAAAGTTGCTATGAGTTGGTACTGACTCAATGGCACCTAATAACAACAAAAACCCCATATGAAAGAACAGTTTTTAGATGAATCAACCATTTTAATGATGGTTAGGAAAAGCTCAAATATAAACCATGGGAGGGAAGACCATCAATTGGAAGAATGAAGAAATTGTAGCTGAAATCCAAAACTTGTGAAAGAAATCCATATAATTAGCATTTGATGCACTAGCTATTGAAGACGAAATCTCTGATCAGAACCCAGAGGTATTCAACTTCACCCGGAGTCCTCTGCCTGAATGTTCTCTACTCCTGCCATGGGTGATGGTGGTGCCAGTGAGGCCCAGGGTGCTCCTGGGCTCTTGGCTTTGGGCTGAGGAAGCTGAACATGATTAGTAAGCAGCTGCATCAGCAGGGTGACAGCAGACATGGTCACCACTGTCAGCCTTGCTGCTGGTACCACATGCAAGGTGTCCAAGGCCATTTTTCTGTGTGCCTCACCCACCAGGCACCCTATGCTCCTGCACCTGGATTGCACAAAGTATTGATCCAGCTGTTGGCACAAGCCCTGTCCTGGACCAGTGCACACATGGCAAGTCTAGACTGTTGTAATCAGGGAGCACAGCTCTCAGGCTTTGTCTGGCAGGCTCCACTAAGACTTTAATATAATAGACTTCCAGTGATTTAACTGCAGATTGTACAGGGATTATTTGGATATAATAATGTTCGCATAACATCCAAATTGCATGATGACCTATTTCTCAGAACATGCTGTGGATGTTCAGCAACGCATGCCTGTATATGCCTGTATATGCAGTCCACACATACATATATAACATAATGTGTGGCTCTGTGGGTTAATGAGCCAGACTCCAAAGCTGTTTGAACGGCAAGGTGTGCAGTTCAAGCTCACCAGCTGCTCCTTGGAAACCCTATTCATGGTCACTATGTGTCGGAACTGACTTGACAGCACTTAAAAATAACATAGGTACATAGTTACACTGTATATCTTTCCTTACATATATATGTATACATACCTACTCTATGTAATCATAAACAAGTTTTATGACTATTACTACAAAAATATATGTGTCATAATGTTTCCCAAAAAAGACTCTTTTCTTTGTGTATGTATTTACTTTGTCCAAGCTGTGCAACTCCATTTACATTCACTATTGCCTCTGAGCTAGTTGTCTTTTAGAAGATGTCTTAAGACTGAAGTGGCAGATGACTTTAAACGAACCCATCTTAGT